CATTTTGTAAGTGTTTAATTTTATGAATTTGCAGAAGTGGATATATGAAATAAAAGTATTTTAAAAGTAAATATATAAGAAATAATGAACATCAGTTTTGTCATTTAGACACGGTTTTCACAAGAAAATGCATACAAAAATGGAGTCATTTCATTTTTCAGTTCTTTCACAAGGTGGGATGAACATGTTAGAGAAAATATAAGCTATAACACACTTTGGCCCAGCGAACAGTTTCTTAATTTCGACATCATCTCCGTCTATCAAATCTAAAACAGCAACATCACGACTAGGAATGCTATCACATAGACCTTTAATGTACCTGTTAATAAAAGAACTTAGAATAAAATAGTTGAATTATTTTTTGCATAAACATATTTGAATTTTTTTACTCTCTAAAATTTGACTTACATTTTGTTTTTGAAAGCCTTGATTTTAAAAACTGCAGGTATTTTTTTCAGACAGGAGCAGACAGGTAAACATGTCAAACGAATGTAAATATAACAAATATGTGAAATTGTTTCAATACATATGTAAAGTATGCTATCAAAATATGTATGTCCCGTTCTTGGTGGAATTCGTTGTATTAAAAACATTCATCCACAAATAGGACAAGAATGTTGATTCTTTTATTGTTGTCAAAATGCATCTTTCTTTTAACTTAGCATGTGCAAATTTGTCAGAAATTTAGTGAATGATTAGCGTTTTTGGTTTGGTTTAATGCGTTTGAAATTGTCTTATTATTATTGTTTAACTTATTATATTTGTATATTATAATAGTACCATTATAACAATTATATACTAGATGTTTTTAGTGATAACAATATTAAGAAGGCTGAAACAAAACTTTGGTTTAAGTTTATATCATTCAAAATTATGATTGTCGTCATTTTGTAATTCAGGCTTAACTTGTTTTCATGTGAAATTATGTCTGATTGAATTGTATACGCTAACAAGATTATAATTTTTGATAATAAAAAACCTTTATACACCTTTTATTTATTTCTATTAATTGTAGAGGCGCAATATCATTTAATGGAAGCTTTTTTCAAGATTTATATTATTTAGTCTGAGAATGACTAGAAAATTTGGATATATTACTTTACAATTTTATTTCGAAATTGATAACCGTTAAGTACATCACATTCTTTAATTCTAATATTCTTTATGTTGTGGTATGTTTGTCAATAAAACAAATTAAAAAAATCACAGTTTTTTCCGATTCTTGACCTTACATCTTTTAAAGATCAAGTTTAAGCCCAAACAACTGACCAATCAGTCTTAAAATATTTCTAAAACTTCTTGCATCAAACATCCATATTTGTCATATTGAAGGAATGGTAGCGATCTGGGAAACAAATGTATGAAATGGTTAACTTTTGCATTAAGTATTAGAAACATCCGCAGATATGTTCAAAGGCCAATTTTCATTTCACCCTTTACGGGTGTGCCAAACCATGAAACGCGGCTAACGGTGCCAAAAGATGAGCGCGCCCTAAAGAACAATGGAAACTAGATTGATTGTGATTAAAATTTGAATAGTGGATCACAAATGACAAAATCGAATTCAATGTATGTTGCAAAAATTAAAACCGTCAAAAACACATTTAAAAGGCATGCAACATATCCTTTGTGTGATCATGCACTACAAATCTGTACAAAGAGTGATCACCATAATTACATGAAAACTGAAGAACCGGCATTGTGCTTCAAGTCGAGATACTAGACAACAAATATGCAGCTATTAAGAATTTGGAGCAGACAAATATATACGATTATATAGAGCTAACTAAATCAACATTAGTGCCGTTTGCTGTGCCAGTAAACTTCAGTTTATACTCTTTGAATTTTTGTTACAGGTACAGTGTTGATTAGAACAAAGTGGTCAGAGAAAAAATAGTGCAAATGACACTGCAGACGAATGTCCTAAATGCGAGTATTTCTTTAAGAGCGCTCAGTATGCCAATAGTGTTGTGATTGTGTACTTTCTTTTTGACAGCTTGTCTGTAATATGCAGGCATCAAGACATTGATCCCTTTTCAAAATTCCAAGTCCATTTTATTAGTTTTTCTCACTATTTACTCATTTCTTCTCTAGTTGACCATTCGCAGCTGTTGATGGAACGACACTTTCGTGTCACATTGAAGGTTCAATGATAATCACAGTATGAACAATGTATTCAACAAAATTCACTATTTGCTCAATGTAATCGAGCCTGAAACATTTTGCTGTTTTGCCGTTTTGGACATTTTAAGTAGGGATTACTTGTTTGCTTGTTTTGCGGCTGAAAAACATATTTATTCCTATAAATATCCATCTAAAACTTACTTTTGTATGTTAGTTATCAGCAAAGGGGCTCAACGACACTGATCACTATAAACAGATGACCACTATATGCAGGTTGACATAGATATAGTTATATGTTATGACAAAACATGGCTTTATATGGATATGATCTGTTGAAATATATTCATGTAAGTACAAAATTAAATAGTACTTTAATTTACAATATATGACGTGGATGTTACAGTTATAACCGCTCCAAACAATATTATTTTTTCGAATTTAAAGAAATATTTTGTTTTCTTTTTACTGTATTTGTCCTATTTTTTTTGGGCGGCTCTTATGCGTTCTGCCATTGAACTGATGAATATCACGTGTTCGTTAAGAAGTAGCCAGAACGTTCTGACTAACAGATATTTAATAAAACATGATTGCAAAGTTACCTTTTTCTATCACGATTCCGCATCTGGTTCGTAAAATTAAAATAAAAAAGAAAACGAATCGCTCAGTTAAAGTTCAAATTACAATAACGAAATACACGTATGCAAACAGACTAATAAATCGCTAAATAACGTTACCAGATTGGTTTCATATTTTCTGGCCGCTGACTGTGATGAACAGACTCACGTTATAATGGATGCCAATATATAGGTATTTCCTTCCATCCAAACTTACTCTGATCGTAAAATGACAAGTTAACTCGAATTTTCCAATAAAATAATAATAATAATAATAAAAAAAAAAAAAATAATAATAATAATAATAATAATATTTATAATGATAATGATGATGATGACGATGATGATGGTGATGATGGTAATAATAAGGCAAGGATAACATAAACATATTCAGGAAGTGGTTCAGATTGGGAAAATATTCAAATGATTTTGCATGAGAATAAAAAAAAGTAACTCGAGCATATATTTACTCGTCAACGTATAATTGTTATCTCCCTTTGATATGATCAATCAGAATTCGGTTGAATTGTAGCTCTATTATCTTTGCCCTATGAAATGATAAGTCCACCAGTCAGTTGTCGGCTTAATGTATTGGAATATCAAGATGCAACTTTTCACATGACGGTTTCTCTATTTTTCCCCATTATAATGTTAATAAAATATTTGAAGAAGGAGCTCCTACGTGTTTTTATTCAGTTGTATTTTTAACTGCATCTTTTACACAAACAGACAAACATGTGTTTCTGCTAAACAAATCAAGATGTAAACACTATCTCACAAATGTCTTTTAACAAAATTATTCTATAAGGATACCATGTTCTTTCTTTTTTAAAAATCTTTTGAAACGTTTTAATGTAATGCTTTTGAAAGGAAACGGTAATACATGCACCTTTCTTTAAATATAAACATAAATCTACTCATATGTAAAGATCATGCAATTAAAACTTCTTCCCAATATGTTAAATCATAATGGGTATTAACTGGAATATTATGTGCTCGGTATTAAATTCTAGAAACATGTTTAAAAAATTGAATTAAAACGTTTAAAAGTATTCTAAAACATTGACATAGTTCATAGTCCATACAAATACACTATCCATTATGTTGACGGTCAGAGGATACATGGATATTGGTCATGGTAACTGACTTCTTTGTATTGGGTAAGCATAAAAAATTGTTGTTCAATTTAAATCGAAATTTAAGGTAAAAATTTCATTGTTAGCCACCCACCTTAACTGGCTATTAAAATTTAAGAATTGACCTGTTTTACATCATCAAGTAACGTTGAGTAAGAGAAATCTGAATTGATATGAGGACAGACAGTGATTATATTACAGAATATTAGCAAAGACACGGAAAATGCACATACCGTCTACATCTAACGATACACGTTGTTCATGCGATTTTCTTTAAACGAAAAATTTGGGGTTTTTTTGCATTATGTTTTCAGCCAACCATGATATCAGTCAAATAAAAAGCGCTTTAAAACAATGTAATTATTTACTCAAATTTGTTGTTAAGTAAAACCTATTTATCAAAGTTTCCACCAAAGTCATATGCTAGGCTTCAAATGTTTTAACAGAAATACAGGCACTCTGAGAATAAATCAAGTTCAGAAGTAAATACATTAGAAAAAGAGAAAAAAAAAGAATCCCTAAAGAAAGCCCAACACCGTAAGATTGTAAACTATTGCAGGGGCTCGGGTTGATTGAGCCTGCTCATGGACGGTACTGAAAGTGCAAGTTGCCGTCCACGCCCCCTAGCGTCGGCTTAAGCAGAATTCAACATTTAAACAGAAAAATGGTAAAATTTTGAATTTAGAAACATCCACAGATGTGTTCATACGGCGGTTATCATGGAACCTTCAAGGTGACACAGTAGTGTCATTCCATGAAAAGCGGCGTATGGTCCCCAAGTAAAAGAATGCGTGTGCCCTTAACGAGAAAACAATGGGCGGAACTAAATAAGATGGAATTTTGAAAGGGGATCTGAGGTTATGAAGCCTGCACAGACAAAAGCAGGCAACATATCCTAAGGGTCACCACCCAAGTTGAAAAAGGCCAAATACACAAAACTAAAAATACCATCTAAAATGAATACACAACAATTATGTCGTGCTGAACGATCTTCAAGGATCGAAAATATAAAATAATTCATTAAATGTGCAGGGAGACTTTTTACAGCCGCCACACGGCACAAAATAACACGGAAGTTTAATGTGCATCAGTTGGTTAATTGCATCCCGCTAAAAACAAAACAAAATCACATTCAAATTGATGCCATTTTATTTTCCAATTATTTCTGCGGGTGTAATAGCATGCAACAAATATCCAGAAAATGTACAATAAATTTCACTTGGATCTCCATAAAGTTTGTTTTTAAATCCTTGTGACTCGATTCTAACCACATCTCCCCCATTTAGCTCCAACACAGCAGCATTTCCGGCAGTTGCATGATGACCGGGTATCACATTATATATGCTGTTTATATACCTATTAATGAATGAAATGGTATTCAATGAAACGTTCTAAATGGCAGTTTCTCAACATAACAAAAATGAACTTCCTCAAATTAGCTACGTACATTGCACAAACGCTGCCGATTGACTTTTAATATACAGGTAAGCAATTATAAAAATGATAAGCAGAGATACAAAAATGCATAGAATTGCTTTAATTATATAAAATAATTGACGGAGAACAAGAATGGTGGTTTATAATCATGATAAGTATACCTGTGGGTTACCGTGGGTTTACATAATATACATCTTAATGTATAAAGGAGAAACCTATTCAAGTAAATGACATATACTACTTTACTTAGTAATAGTCTGCAAATGAATGTGTTCTAATTGTAAATTATTCTAGTGATCATTGTGTCTAAGATTTCTTAGGTTTGGTCGATAGTCACGCAGAAACTGTAAAGGGGTAAAGCAAGTACAAGCAATTACGTGTGTGGAACGTTTGACCTTTTGTAAGGTAGCTTAATAGTTTAGCCACAACGTGAAATAAATGGTCATATTACTATTAATCATTGCACGATGGTTTTGTAAGACCTTACTTTTGATTTTGCATCAATCGTAACTTTATACCACTGTCTCTTATTGTTCTTCCATGATAGTTGAACTCATAAAGTCCACTTGCTGGTGCGACAAAGTGGCCGGTGGATATATTGTAGGAAGTTTTGTAGTTGACGAAAACATGATCGTATAAAATAGTGGAACCTGATGATACACTTATGTTATTGACAAGAGCCACAGAAAACGCCACAACTGGGAAGGATTCTAAAACAATAATGTAAGTTGTGTAAAATCAAAATAATTAAGTATACATTGCCTTACTTAACTGCGTATAATAATGCATATTGCGTATATTGCGTTTATGAAACAAATATCTAAACAAAATCTTACCTGGTGACAACATATCGAGGTCAGTGATAACTTGGACACCAGAGAAAGTTGTAAATATTTGGTCAGGATTTCCAAACAAAAAATTATCAATTCCGGCATGTGCTTTGACGGTTATTGTATCGTTGACGTTGAGATGTAGGATAGCGGTGTTTCCTGCGTCCGTCCAATCAAAGTCGGTAACACATTTAATGGAACATATGTATTGGTCATTTTGAAAAAGATCTTGCCACAGCTCTTCGTTTTGATGGGTGAGACTATTAAAAAGAAACGTACATTTTAAAATAAATGTATTTCTTAATTAAATACCTTTTATCAGCTTTAATATACCACATGTCTCTAAAAAATTACATTTTTCAAATTGGAATAAAATATCAAGTAGCGTGTTACCTGAAGAAATGAAAGATGTATATGCCTGCAGTAAGAGCCTTATAAACGCCTGTATCTAAGTTAAAGCCTTTGTTTATGTTTACAAGTTGTGTATCATACAAAACAGATGCTCCTCCAACAACATTTTGGTTTCGATCGGATGTCACTGAGAAAGCTGATATAGCATTGTCGCTGTTACCTGTAAAGGTATTAAACTAGACCATGTAAAATATATTATGTTGTGGCAATTAATTATTAACTGTTATATCATATTAGCTCACCTCCCGTTATTTAGTGCAATAAGTCAGTCAGGTTTAACAAAACTCTTAAAAAAAGAGACATAAAAGATATAAGACACAAATGTCATTGATAATGATATCAAATATGTAGAGGGTATATTGGTTTGTCTATTTTTATAATTTTAGCGCATGTTTCAAGACCTTCTTAAAAAAACATAACATATCTTCAAACAAGAAACATATATACAGTCGTTCATCTTTTGTATCAAATGCATCTAACAACACGTTTTCACATCATTGTGTTAATTACACTTAAATAATACTAGTGGTTATAATTGAGTGATGACAGTACAAATAAATAAATTTCATTTTAATATCTTACTGTATGTTATGTTATTTAAACATCTTAATAGTGAAAATACAGTTTCCTGAACACTCTTACTTGGAGATAGTTCCTGATTAAAATGTTTTCTAGTAAATACTTTATAACTTACTTATTGCCTCAGAGCCAATTTGCACACATGTGAAAGTATTATAAATTTCATTTGTATACGCAAATATATCCACTTGATAATTTGTTCTTGTCTTTACTTGAACGATATCACCTTCATTTAGATCAAGAACCACACTGTTTCCACCTGCACCATTGTGACCAGACACGTGGCCGTAAAGAGATGCAACACGCTGACTATTATGCCAAAGTTCGAGGAATGTTTTCAAGTTCGGGCTAGCTAAAGAGTAAACTTGGCATTTGTAAACTCCACCATCTTTGCATGTGAACACACCTCCTGATATGTCTTGACGTTGCATGTGATTGGTAGTTATCTATGAAAAATTTGCATTTGTAATTTGCATAATTATATGTTAGCGTAAAGAGATAAAATATTATACAGGTTTCTATTTTCAATAAATGTGTGTAGTCTGACAAATCCACTAGTACAAATTATACAAATAGCATTTTTATCTCATTGACGTTTCATTTATTATGAACATTTTGCTAAAATGAAAATATTTTCTGTGTAAGCTAGTGCAAAAATAAACAGCAAATGTATATACATGATTGTATAACATTTTCTTCTATTGAATATTGTAATTTTACATAGTCTAGTAACTGTATTATCATCGTTTGACCGGTTTTCGATACCATAAGGTTTTAACTTAGTCTTTTGTAAAGAAAACTAACTCGACAAATACATCAAGAAAATAACCTTTTATTGATGCCTATTTAAACTTCAATAAGACTGATTTTATAATCAAAATAACATTTAATCAATCCAACATTTAAATTTTTATCGTCCCTACGTCGACATTTCCTATATTGACATGTTTTCGATACCTTTTCTACCTGCATAAAAAAGAGTACTAGTATACAGTAATTGTCCAAAAATATATTCAAATCTTAGAAAAAAAACAACATTGGTATTTCATAGGCCTATCCTAATAGCTAACATATTAGCATATTCTTCTGTAAAACTGTTTTCATGGCATGGGCAATTTAATTCATCATGGAGTCCGACTACTGACTGCTCACAGCAATAGTTTAAGTGTGTCCAATGACCACATTCTGGATAGTCACACGGAACCCTTTTAGTAAACACAACTGATATACAATTTCCAAGTGCTATTTGTTGAACAAAGAGCAAACATAACACTTTTCTTCTTCTGTTTTTTCTTCTCCTGAAGAATAGTTAGATACAACATATGGAGACGTGATTTTTGATTTTCTTGAGGAACAAGGCTGGATACATTTACGTATCCTTTAATTGCTGGTTGAAGTAAGTGATACACACATTTGCTTTTTCCCACTGGCACTTTTAAATGATGACTTATTTTTCATTTTAGATTTATGTGCAGTAATTTGTTGCTTGATGTACAGTGGGCGAAGAAATGAATTTGCCTGAAACTAAACCACTGATAGTTTTGTACTGTTTTTTATGTTCAAATGTTTGTTTATCTTAATTTTTTTTAAAGCAATTTTGAAAAATTCAGTAGGCAATGGAACATTTTTTGCTGGAACAAAACTTAGTTCAGTTGTTAAAGATTCTGGAGCTCTATAAGCCTTGTGAATCCAATTATGCTCAGTTTGCACACCCTTTTCGTCAACATTATAGATGAGTTCAGGTTTGTCCATCAAATTGTCTTTAGTAAGGCAGATTTTAAGTTACTGAAGTATTCAGATACCTTTTCTTTCGAAGTAGCTTGTACCCTATAATTCACAAGTGCCCTTGCTTTTACTTTTTTAAGTTCAGGCCACTTGGTCATGAAAGACCTGTTACATCAGTCATTCAATGGATGTTCCTTATCTCGTTTACCAGGGAATGTAGCATAGTTAGAGGCTTGGTCTATCAATTCACTACGTTAATAGCAGTAACCAAACTGAGCAATGATAGATATGACTGAACAGATATGGCCTCTTCTTATTGACTTAAAAGTGACTTGGGTCCTGAAGCTGTTTTTTCACGATCAATTCTACCAAGAACTCTATCACGCAAGGTTGTCTGAGGAATACCAAATTGCCGTGCAGCAGTCTTTATTGGTATCTTCATTTCTTTTACTGCTTGATATGCATTATTATTAGCTGTAGGTGAGTACATCCTATACTATGAGGCAGAAGATGTAGGATTTACCTGTAAAAGAAGTAAAAATAAACTGACCTAATATTGCAGATTACAGTATTGTGGAGAGAAAAACAATGTAATGATAATCAATAATTTATTTCATATGAGATCAGGCACATTTTTAAAAATAAATGTAAACCGCCTCCGTGGTCGAGTGGTTAAAGTCGATGACTTCTAATCCAGTTACCTCTCTGGCGTGGGTTCGATCCCCTGGAGATGCTTTGGTAGTTTAGCGCGGAGGAAGGTAGTCTAGTACTGGTGTAACTCTCCAGGAACGATGGTTAGGAAACTACCCTCCTGTATGACTAAAATACTGTTTGAAAAAGGCGTAAAATCAAACAAACAATAAATAAATAAATGTACAGTAAATGAATTTTTGAAAACACCCTATAGCACAAATTTGACGTCATGGTCACATAACATTCACGTGACTTTGAAGAGCACACGAACGGGGAATTCCCCCATCAATGGGATTTATTTTGAGGATTTTATAATAACTTTGATGCTGAATTATAATAGAAAATTATGATAAAGTAATAGCAAAAACATTAATTTCATAATCAAGATAAGAAAAGAAAGTTTACTTACTTGTTAACTTACTTTGTCGCATTTTTTACAAAATTCCACGGTGGCTCGAAAGAAGTCAAGTACGCTGCGATCTGTAAACAACCGATGACGTATTTCGTCTTCCGGTTCAAAGAGCATGAGCAAGTGAAAGTATCGAAAACCTGTACGTATCGAAAACATAGCAAACCACGATAAAAGGTTAATGGAAACCCGAACAATTCATTGAAGTCTAAATATTGTATATATTTGTGAGAACCGTTTACAATTAAAATCGAGTCGAGTAACAAAAATGTATTTCAAGCAATTAAACTTCTGACGATTTGGCAAATTAAAAGAATTCTAATTTAAGGCTGATATGTACATTTAGTGTTCCTTATTTCCAAGAAACCTTATGATAATGCAAATGTATGTTTAAGGAATAAATAAATAATAATATAATTTGAAACAAACAAGCAAACAAACAACAAAATTAAAAAAACATACATGTGTAAATGGAACTGTTGTCTCATTTTTAAAACTCAATTTTGTAGATTGTGCCACTGTGAAAGCAACTGGGTCGAACTTAGCATTGGCGGCAACTAAATTATTGATGAATTGATACATATAAATTGTCGAATAGTGTGCTTCAAATAATTATTAAAGTATCAAAATGCCACGTGCAGCATATTTACCGCGTTAAATTATTTCGAGTTATCCTATCATCATTTTACTCTGGCATGTTAATGTGGTAGTGTACATTTTTATGGTAATGTAAATAAAGCCCTAAAATGTGCGTGTCCTGGGAAACGCACATATTTTCCCGTCTTTATTAAACGTTCAACAAATATATCATTGCTTCAATCTGTTGTTTTATAACATTAATGTGCATATTTACATTTGATATAAGTATGATATAGTCTTTTTAAAAGAAGCTTGCATAGAAACATCCGTCGATCTGAAGTGACAAAAGCACTGTGTTTAATTGTTTCACATACACATACAAACCAACAACCATAAAATCATAAAATATTACACTAAATTGTACTTATTATAATAAAGGATTGAACGTTTTTGATTAACATTCTACGTAAACGTAGGTACCTTAGAATTGATGTTCATTCTACTTACCTATAAAGCTGCACATGGTCATCAGACAGGCAGCGATCGCCATCTCTAAATACTGTTCTATAATAAATTACAAAAGTTAATTGAATAAAGAAAAGAATAAATTAATACATCAGTGTTATTGACTTCAATGCAGATAACTGGTATTTTTGAAATTTTCTCCTTTAATATAATTATACTTACATAGACAGCTTAAACCCTAATGTCTTAAATATCAAAAGTGATCACAAATATTGGTGCATTTCTAACATATGCGTATTTCTCTCACACTTAAGTGTAACATTTAAAAGAGTTCAATAGATAAGGTTTTTTTTACCTTTAGCGGCTTTCTCATATCTTTACACTATTACAACTACTGTATTTAGAGATATAACATTGATGCTAGCAATGATATCCAGTGAGACCATTTTTATTGAGTACATGATTTAACTATGACTATTAATTTAAATAAAAAAAGAAACATTTTGAGAAAAAAAGGAAATTCACCTGATTAACTCGATGAACTAAAAAACTTTTAATGGAAGAGTTTTTTTTGTTCATTATGGTACCATTCTATATTAATTTTTACGATTGTATGGAAACCATTAGACTGTTATTAATAATTATAAAGTACATAAAACAATTGCTTGGTAAAAGGTTTGTTATATAATGCTATACCTTCGAAGATCGAACTCCTAATGATTGATCACTTATATACTACTTAATATATAAAAAGAACAAACTATGTTGAAATGAATGTTAGTTGAACAATAACTATCAGCACAATATTTTTATAATAATGCTAAATAAAGAAAAGCATGAGACAATTGCCAACGAAATATTGAACACAGTAACTGCAAGGTAAAATGCTAGAATAAAGCCAGTCACAAATAAATAAATAGATAAATAAATACACAGATTATTATACGGTTATATCCTAAAATGTTATTTATCACTGAAAACTATTATTTTGTCGTTAAAGTGGCATATTTTACGTTTCAACAAATAACGACAGTACAAATAAACACATACCATACAAGTCACATCATCTGCAACAACATCATCTGTGACTGTATATAAAAAAAACAATCAGAAAAATAAAGAATAAATATAACACACACCAACAGTGTCGATTTCGTCCCATGATAATTATGAGTTAAATTAGCTAGACAGTATGTTAAATCAGTTAATATAGACGGTTTTGGTGTCTGATGTTATCGGCAAGCTATGTGCTTAGGAAGGGTTTAAAGTAAGTATCCACAAATTAAGTTTGCACATTCAAAAAACTTAACTGGCATTTGCATACACGCTTTTGTCAAGAATAGGATAATCAGCGCCACAAGTGTATTACAATCACCCTGCTACAATATAGAGGTTCATGGTATCTGATAAATCATTTTTATAAATTAGAATGCATAAATTGAAGCTGCCCCTGATAAGTTTTAAACCAAACTTAGATACAAGTACCTTCTGTTTATCTGACCGCAACAAAAATGTTATTACCAGGTCTTGCTGGTCGAATTATTACTTCCTTGATTGTTGTGCAAGTAATAACAGTCTCAAGATGCAAAGTTTAATCTTTTTGTTCAAGTAATCAACTAAATCATTGAATGACGGACAATTTCTTTCATAACATTATTTTGTTTTGTTGCGTTTGCAGTAGGCTTAAGGAATCAGTGGTTGTAATATTTTCAGAATATAAAGTTTGATAAAGTATTCACTAACTATGGGAGCGCATTCAACATGACATCATGTGTATTTGTCCCTACTGTGTCATGAGCGTGTCTATCATTTTAGTGTAATAAAATGTCTTTTGTTTTGATAAGACGTTAACATGACATTAAATCTTATAAACATTTATGTTTCAAATAATTAGCGTTTTTTTCATGTGATAGTACATTTATGACACTATTTATATATCTACCACCACGCTACATTGTGACATTAAAAGGAAATAATTTGATAATGATTTTAGCTAAAGAGACTTTGTCGTGAATAAGCGTTTCTGCAATTTTTGACTTAAATTCTTCAAAATGAACTATTAAACCATTAAAAAAACGGAGGGAAATGCACCTGCAAAAGACTTTTGAGATTAATTGAAGTGATGTCTATCTTTTATTGTTAGTTGTTGTTTAAATTGTACGCCACACCAACATAATTAAGACCAAATGGTGACTTTTCAGCTTTATTTGTGAAAGAAGACTTCAGGGGCACCTCCATTTTTATGTCAAGCACGGACGGATCGTAACGGGAAAGAAAGAGTATTTCGCGCGGCACACGAACCAACAGCGGTTAGGATAAAGTGATTTGAAGGCAACGAACTTCAACACCAGACCGACGATGGTCCTTATGTGACTCTAGTGCAACACCATTTGTCCATGTGTATTCTTTATAAAAACTTTATTAAAGTAATACATAGTAAATAAAAAAGTATTCTTCATAGCTATAGAAAGCAAACTATAACAAAAATAGAAGGGTTTTTTATGGTATGACCATCGTAATTGGCACCCTATGGGAACTATATGAATGACGGACCTGTTACATGCTTTAATTGATTACTGTTATTTTAACAACAATTAACTGTTTATGAGGTCATATTTTTAAAAATTTAATTAGACGGCTTTTGTTTCAGAAATAAGGAAACTCTATCATTTTATATTTTATATCATCCTTATGAAAAATAGACTATTGATTATTGTTAAGAAACATACACTAAAATTTCATCTATTTGATCATATTCCTAGTTAGGAAACCAAATTCAAAATATCCCAGAAATCCACTCAATTGAGGTGAGGTTTTCAAAATTTCATTTTTCGCCTAAAAGTATAATAGTTGATCATGTCAAATATTTAATATTTTTACCGTGGACTTTTGGTCTAATTAGGCTTTGAAAATATCAGGTACCCTATGTCTTACTAAATCTAGCATTATTTAGTCAATAAATGAACATAAAATAATTATGTAATTAAAATGAAACACTTTTTTTCAAATAGAAAAGGATGTGAGAAATACATTTATAGTGGTAAAAGGAAAGAAAGAAGAAACAGGTTGACCACCAAGCCTCCGTTTTAATGTAGTTTACAGTGTTGTTCCTATTTAAATACTCTTCAAAGTGGCGAAAATGCGTTGAAGGGTTCTTTCTGAAAGGAATGAAGTGTTATTTTAAGCTTACGCGATTATGATTAAATACATTCAAAATAGAGAGACTTTAATTGTCTCTTTAATTTGAAACAAAAAAAGGTCCAGTCAAATAATTCCTTACCAATGAATTCAATCATATAAAACGCGAATTACGACATGCATAGCTTTATGATTGATGACGTATGTAAAAGTCGTCATGGAGAAAATTAGATCACCTTAAAACTTATCAACTGATAGCAATACATGAATTTAAACATTGCATCATAATATAGAAACATTTGTTTCTTATCTTTAACGTCTTTATAGTAACAATTTAATGATAAAAGCGCTATTTCGGTTAAAGGTTTGTTTAATCAAATTTCGTTAATTTTGTTAAACTGGGTTTGTGTTTTCAAAGTGTTTTAAAATAAATGAAATTGAAGTACAAACATAGGATTATATAGAGGATATTTGTTTAGTTCAGTGTAAGATCGGAATATCTTTCACCGAGTGAGCATCAAAAGGTATATTTCACGAGTGGCGCAGCCACGAGTAAAATATGAACTTTTGGTGTTCACAAGGTGAAATATATTTCAATCTTACACTAAACTAAACAAATTTTCTTTTTATTACATTCAAAGAAACGTTTTAAAAGACATTAAACCTAATACTGAATGACAAGCGCGCCAAATAATAATACAACGTGACGTCATTTACGACGTCACGTCATTAAGTTGGTACCCAGTACTGTGCACGCTGGTATTTCACTGAAACAACGTAAGGGGCTTACATTTAAAACAGTGAAATTATCAAAGTGGTAATTTCACTGTTTCAAACAGTGAAATTACCAGTTTTATATCACTGATATATTTCTATAAACCACCGAAAAGCATGACTTTGTAATAAATTTATTTTATAATTATTCACATTCACTTTGCTGTTTTAATTGTTAAACCTTTGCAATCTTGAATATCAATATGAAACGTATTTGTCGTAAAGTATAATCTGAAATACATTTAACAATGCATGGTATACAAATATATTCTAAATATTTAAGGCGGCATGGCAACGGTAATGGCAAGGTACATGTTGGCTGTCTTATTTTCCATGATAGTGATTTCTGTAGGTAAGCAGGGAATAAATTACGCAAGCATGCATAATATTTTTTGTCATTTCTCATTATGCCTAAGAATTGTTTCTAAATTTTTTTTCACTTTCTATTTTTGTTGTCCAGTTATAATAGTTTTCCAAGAAACTATTCATTGGCTTGTTACCAGTATCATCTTATGATACACTTATAGTGTTTTAGTATTTTGTGTGAAGATCAAAATACTACTGTGTTTTATAGCGCTAATACTCTTATTATGACAAATTATGTTAGTTTCTGTAGTATAATGCATTAAAAATGTATTATTTGACATAACAACGGCAAAATTTACGTTACAAATATAAATGTCATAGTTTCTGTTAAAAAAGCTTTCCTACTTCCTAACATGGTGTGAACAATGTTTACTGTGTTCTTTTAGTATGACTGTTTGGAAAATATATAAAAGTGGAAAATGATTTTTATGTTGCATATGTGTATAACATATTAGAACTGTAGCATAATAAAGTGCATACTTTTTATACCTTTTCATACAATTTTCAAGAAAAGTATTTGTCATTGAAGTATGCAAATGTCAAGATATACCTTGCAATGTTCTGATTTCCTTAAAACAATGTGCCATTAAAGGGACTCCACTGACGTTTTTTGACATGATGGGACTGAAAATATTTTTTCCAGATAAATGTATCATTTGATGAAAGTTTAGACCACTTATCTTTGTGCAACATTTCAGATCATTCGCGGACATTGTTTTTTCCAGAATAATTATTCAAACTGTAACAAATTGACCCAAAATGAAAAGCGTTTAAACGTTTTTCACTCAAATACGGCTTAGAAAGGCATAAAAATGCGATTTTCAATTTATTTCAAGCTTTATTTCTTATCTATCATTAAATATATTTCTGTTTAAAGTGCCCAAGCTAATTTATGTAAGAAATTCAAATGTTATGTTTTCAGACTTTTACACCTCAGTTGAGTCGCTTAAACATGTTTACTGTATTTTTAAGCACACATTTCTTTCCAGATTTCGGATATGCGAAGTTTGATCCTATAGCTTTTACAATTACAATGGACAAACCTCACAATTATTCACAAGCAACAACGTTATCTTACCCCGTAGTAAGTATTCATATTTTTACTTAAAGTCTAAGGAATCTCAAATATTGCATCACATATACCAATGGTCACCTGTATGTTATTTACATTCAAAAACATACATGTCAACTCGGGATATATTGTAAATGATTCGATTTCGAAAACATGCATGATAAAATTTATGACAATACGAATACAAATGATGATGATGATGATGATGATAATGATGACGACGACAACAACAACATTTAATATTATTATTATAATTATTATTATTATTATTATGTTGATTATAACGCTTAAGACAAAACAGAAAAATAAAACCGATTTTAACATTTTAAAGAAAGTAGAAATGGTTTTATTAGAATTTGCAAAACACAACACAATGGGAAAAGTTGAATACTTTTATTAGTTTAGTCTGTTCAAGGACGAACCATCCTTTCGTAATACCTACACAACTAAAAAGGGTGATATGTCCTATTGATGAAACAGTAGACTAAGTGCATTATGCATCTAGTCTCACCTCACTTTGAAGTGATTGAGCATCTTTCACTCCTTAAATTTGTTTGACAAGACAATGTTAGATATTTAACTCATGTTAATAAACCGAAATATGAACTGCAAAGTTATCAAGTGCATTGGAAATTAGAGATGATAGAATGGTTATACTTGTGTAATACTTAGGTGACGGAAATGTTTTGACTTATATTCTATATTTCATTTTTATTCAGACCATCACAAGTCACATGAAAACCAATTCTGTGTCGAATGGTGTGTTCACAAGCATTGTGGATGGAATATTCACATGTCAAGTATACTCAACGGCTTTCAGGAATGGCAAAATATTCCTTGATATTATGCATAATGATGTAACAGTTGCATCAATATATGCTCACATGAAAGACAGTCATTCTAGTGGCGGAAATGTTGTTGTGCTTCATTTGGCAAAAGATGACACGGTGAAGGTGAAAACAAGACCAAATCAAAATGTTTCCGTATTCGGATATGAACAATATGACACGTTTACTTGCAGTCAGGTTGGATCAGAATCATTGAGTAAGTTAAAATATTTAAAATCTGATTTCAAAATTGACTCCTTTGATGGAGTACAGTTGCTTAATGTAAATGGCCAGATATGTGCTTGAGAATTTTGAAAAGTTATTATCCACAAATTAACTTTGTACAAATAACTTAAAACAGCATACATCCAGATTTATGCTTATTTTCATGAACACTTTCAATTGTATTTAAAAGTAAAATATTGTGAAGTGCACGAACAAAAAAAGTAATTTACACATTACAAACGGCACTTACAATCCGCGTTAATTTCTAAAAAGAGGTCAAAATATACGTAATTACCTCTTACTGCGTTAGTAACGCAGCATGATTATAGGGATTGATATTGCAGTCAGTCATTAATCGCACATAACATGTTAATAATCAATTAAATATTGATTTATATTTACTTTTCCTAAGATGTTTATACATTTTTCTAAAGACTGAATTTCTTGAAATATTTTGGCTCATCTGGACGCGTGGACATTTAAATAAATTAACAAATACGCTTGTGTAAATTATACAATACTTAACCGTACAAGTGTAAAGCAACAATTTTGTTTCAAATACAATGGCTTTTGGCATAGTCTATTAAATAATTATTTTATAGCATAAATTGAAGCCCCTAATATCACTTTATTTTAGCACTGAACCAAACGTCAATACCAGCATTTTCTGTTGTATCTGACCGCACCCAAAAAGTGAACGGGGGAACGCCTATAAAGTACGATGTTAAATTGCTAGACGTGACAAACGCTTTCGACGTAAAAAGTAGCATATTTACAACCCCTTTGGCTGGTATCTATATATTTCACTTTTACGGGTAAGAATTGCCGTTAAAAAGAAATCAGTAAATGTAGTTTAATAATGAATAAACATTCATACAATAATCTACCTCAAATAAAAAAAAAACTTTAAAATGTGATCAGACATAAAGGTACATTTCTATCTGACGTTTGATGTGATATCATTTACCTTGTATTTAGTTAACATATGTAACGTTGTTTGACCACTCTTTTTGTGATGGTACCATTCTATTACAATAAGTATAATAGAGATAACCTAAAACAATTTGAAGTGATTACGATTGTCAAAATATGACACACGCACACGCATACACACTCGCGCATAAACACACACACGCGCGCGGGCGCGCGCACACACACAAAATAAAACAAAACAATTTGAAAGTAAACAACTTATTACCATCACACACAGAGGAGATAAACAAAACAAAGCATACAACTTAACACCATCATACAAAGTCTTTAACCTAAAACTATAAGATCTGGAGATTAATTGTGTAAGTTAAATAAAAAATACATCATACAGAAAAATATTAAATTTTGTTTAAAGTTTTGTCACCATTACAATAATTTGATCAGTATTGACTGCTTCTGCTTACTACCAGACAACATCAGAAAATGATGATTAAAATAATTTGAAACGCATAAAGCTCATGTGTCTGAATATGTCTATGTATGTGTTTCAAATGTCAACAATACTTTAAAATGTCATATCATGTATTTCTTAAAGGCTTTCTATGCAACACGAGGAACTTTGGCATGACATGTTCGTAAATGAAGAATATATATGTTCAGCTAGAAGTAAGACAAACTACGAATGGTCATCAACTGGGAACACTGTTATTTTACATTTACGAAGTAAAGATAATGTGACAATAAAGGCCCACGTAGATACCGATAGTTACCTGTTTGGCAATGATAATCAAATATTTACCTCTTTCTCTGGTGTACAAATAATTACGGATTACGACGCTCAGTCTCCAGGTACATAAATGAACTTTTTGTTTGGAAGTCATTAACGAAAAACATTGACCTTGCAATGATACTTTCCGAAGGTATATAGATATAGGTCTTTAGAATATTGCTTTAAGTACATGTCCAGCCTGTTTTATATCATTTTTTAAACTATTTAAAGATCCTGAATGTAGTGATTGAGGTTGTATACCACACTTTTTGTTTTAATGCGTTTATTTAAGGCCGCCGGCGGAAAGCCCATATGGGCGACCGTACACTCAAGTCGAGCCATCCTAGAGCGTCCCGCCGAGATTTTTTTCCAGCTTATATTGGTGGAGGAAGACCCCAGGTGCCCCTCCAGGCATTATTTCAGGCACGAGCGGGCACCTGGGTAGAGCCACCGACCTTCCGTAAGCCAGTTGGATGGCTTCCTCACATGAAAGATTTCGATCTGAGTGAGGATCGAACCTACAGCGGTGAGGGACCAGTGATCTCAAGTCACCACACTTATTAAAAGTGAAATTCTATATATGTATATAATTATGCTAATAAAACAATTTTCAAACATCAAAGAAATATGTAAAATATGCACTGCAAATATTTGTTAACATTATATGTATTTATATAAATACAGGCATTCATTTCTTATTGGAAAATTTGTCTTAGACTTTATAGAAAACTAATTTCTAATTACCCTCCTTCATTTACATGAAATGTTAAAATTCGGTAATATCTTTATAAAGAATGCTTTCTTAGAACATACAATTTTGATAAATATTAATTTGAGCATCATATTTATGATATAAAACCATAAAAGACGTGTGTTACAGGATCTTTGAAGAAAAGAAAAGAAAAAAAAACCCAGTACAATTTGGGATAATCTACTCGTAGTATAACACGTTATTTGTTTATAAATATATAACTAAATTATATGTATTTCTGGATAATCCCTTGTAAACATATAAGGTTATTAATCTACCAATATAAGCTGATATATAACACCTTTCTTTTTTCCATATTTATTTCCCTTTTCTCCTTTTCAGATATATATCCTGTAGTGGCTTTTTCAGTCGGGTTGGCGAAAAACGTGACGATTAAATCCGGTCAGAATATAACGTTTGATAAAGTATTCATTAACTATGGAAACGCATTCAACATGACGTCCGGATTATTTATCCCGCCTGTGACAGGAGTGTATATGTTTAACTATCATTTTAGAGGCAAATACCCAGAGAAACCTATATATCTAAAATTATTGCATAATGAAAGGTATCTTTTTTAGAATCACGTTCTGAATCAAACTATAAAATAAAATATTTGCTGTTTTATCATAACATTATTCTTAGTTTGAATTAATTCATTTGATTTATCGGCTTCGTTTTATTCCCACATTTAACCATAAAACTGTAAAAAATTGAATAAGTTAACATTATTCTTTTCTGCCGGTGAACAATGATATTTTTATTTAGAATCGGTAAATACTTTTGTATTTTCCCAGAATCATTGGTGGACTATACAGCGAGGCTTACGGACTTCATTCGACAGTAGGTAATGCTGTTGTTCTCAATCTGATTGGTGGTGATGCCTTAAGATTTATATCAATGGACAACATCAGTCTGTATGGACATCCTTCTGAAATACACTGTATATTTTCAGGTTATTTGCTCCACAGCGTAAATCCAGCAGAAATCATTGTTGGAAAATAAAACACATATAAGTTAACTGTTTGTGATTACTGACGTAATTTGGTTTAATTAGGTTGCTTTGCTAATTAACTTAAACTGCACCAAATATGTCTATTTATTTAGATGTTAGCCAGGACAAAAACCTTTTATTTACTGCTGCATATAAGTATATAAAAGGAATACATTGTGAAAACATCCTGTGTCTGTTTTTGTTGCCGATTAGCCATTTCATTAGTGTGGAGACCTTCTTTACAGCAATACAAGGTACAAAACTCTAATACTACGAAAATGAGCTCAAGAGATCTGCGTGACATTGTCGAGTTGTTCTTTCTGTTCATAAAGTGTAAGAAAATGTAAATGCACAATTTTTTGTTCTTTAAAGCACCAGGTGTCTGATTCCGTTGTAGATTAAACTTGCGTTAGTTTAGAGGATCTTCTTTAAGATAACATAAGGCACAAAGCTTTAACGTAATCTGAACGGAATCGAATCGAACTGGAGACCTTAAGAATACCATATGGATTCTGTAGTGACTAAATTATCTGACCGCTTACACACTCCCCTGTGTGATCAGTTCTATACTTTAACTTAAAACAAAAGTATTATTCCATGTGCCCAAATATGCCTCTAAAATCTGAAATTGAGAATACGAGTATTTATTTTATGCTTTTCAGTGGATTACTGATTTATCCGTGAAAATTATATTTGATAATTTCACAGTGAAAATTATCAAAATATAATTTCACTTTTTTCAACGACGAAACTACTTTTTTAAGATTTTCCCCATGTGGTACCTCAATTTTATTTTTACTGACAATTCTGACAATATCAGGCTGTTAAAAAAAATAGCAAAGCTGAAATTGATAAATAACTTAAATGTCAAAAGTAATAAAGAGAGAAAACTTACTTCTATTCCTTCAAATTCCAATCACAAAATTTCGTCTCTAAATTTTTTTGTTTTGTTTTTACAGTCTGAAAAATACATTCCTTCCCCATGCTATACTGCTCTTTATGACATTTGGGCATATTAAAGTATCCTACGAGCAATAACTGCCGTATGCTTTATAAAAAATTGAAAAGCATTGACAGCCATCACTCGTAAAATAAGTAAAACAACCCAGCGTTCCTTACAATGCCTTAGCAAGCTTCCAAGTTTTCCATTTTCCTAGCTCCTTTTCTGAATGTTTTCACTTCTGTCAACACTTATTTCTTGTCTGTTACAATCCTCAAATAAGTTTTCTTTCTTTTAAAAAGGTGTATGACTAACAAATCCAAATTATATCCTTCTGAATCTTACACAATTATTTTCCTCCCATGAAATACACAACTTTAAAAAATGGCTGCCGCTTACATTTTACAAAGCCAGGTCTAATATAAATTCGCAGTAAGTAACAGAAATATGGATGGATGGTTGGACTTTTTCTCCTACAAGAATTGTTTGTTTTTATTATTAAAACAAGCGATCATTCATATTTTTTTAATAAAATGAATAAATATCACCGTCATTTAACCTTGATTGGCGGACTTATTTTTCAGCTCAAGACTTCTTGTTTTTAATGAGAAATTCCCTCTAAATGGGGCTCTCAATGGGGGAAACAGATTTTAATATTAACGTTAAAATTATGGAAATTTCGTTTTAACTTGTTTTAAAGCATAAAATAAAAAGGAAATTTGTCTGTTTGTTGTGTAAGATGTAATTTTATTTCATCTCGTGAACTTTAAAAACAGTATTCTCACTCGTGAGAATACTGTTTTTAAAGCCCACTCGATGAAATAAAATTTCATCTTACACACAAACAAACAAATATCCTCTATATCATATACTGGCCTCCAGTAGAGCAAGTATGTTAAGTTGGGGATATATGGACCAAGGCATTCCCCACAAATAAAACAATATTTTTTGGAAATGTGTCATTCTCCCAATATTTTGAATTGATTCTAATCTAGTCACCTTATCCATGACTAGACAGTTACATATAAACTTATCATTTGAGGAATTTTTTAACCACAAGTATTACCAGTTTCATGTTATAAACAAACAAAGCCTACATCATTTTACAAATTTGCTGTTTAGAGCAGCCTTTCTGTTTCATTTTGCCCCCTCTATTTTATCTTCTTAACCTAATTGTTAACTTTGTTCTTTTCTGATTATCGTAATCATTATAGAACATTCTATATGTATAAAAGTGTTTTTTGGCAGTGTGTTTTTAGGCTTTTATAAAACTTTCTTATTTAATTTATCTTTTTATCAATAGAAAATAAAGAATAATCACAAAATTTATATTTGTAAGTTAACAAAAAGCACGAAGGCCCAGGAATAAATAGGGATAAACATTAATGTTGTATGGCTTTATACACCTAAAGACTGTTTTCCTGGTTGTTCAGTTAGTCTTTACTTTACAGGTATCTTGCAATAGGAATCCTGCAATCACTTTGTGAAATTAATAATAATTTTCTTTGTGTTTGTTTTTAAATTGCCAAGAAAGGATAAAATCCATGTAAGATTCCAAGTGTTCAATTTATGTATACACAGTCTATCAATAAACGACAGTTCTTCAAAAAAGAGTAGTCTGCTGTAAAAGATTGTTTGTTTGTTTGCTTGAATGAATTTTACGTTACACCACCGACACAGTATACTAGTAGATCATATGGCGACGCTCCAGCTATACTGTGGGAGGAAGACCTCAGGTGCACGTTTGGGACTGAAATAGAAAGATCTGAAAGGTTGACAAGGCGTCAGTATTTGTTAGTACTTTGAACAAGAAATATGCATTTAGAAATACTTTAAAGTGACATTATGCTTATATTTTCATAGTCAAGTTGAACTGAATTGACTTTATAATTCAAAAGATTGACTGTCAAAATGGTGTTTGACCAACAGTTGATATTGGAAAATGTTTAGGATAAAATTATAAATGTGCCAAAAATTAAAAAAGACTGCCCCACTCTTTTTATAAACTAAGTGTTATAGGTAAATTCTAATGGATGTTTACAGAAATTTCATTTTGATCTGTGTGTTATTTATTGTTTATGCGAACTTAATTAGTAAATTGAAAGGATTAATGGCAAAATGAAAACTTATTTTGATCTTCACCCGTTCACTCACTATATACCCTTGGGTGGGCATAATGTCACTTTAATTATTATGATAAAGGATATTTGTGAAAAATAATGACTATTATTCTATAAACTATTGGGCTATAAATTATAATTAACGTTTCTAATAGATTGGGAATTTCATTCAAGTATCAATTCTTATATGATTCCTATAACTATCTGTGATAGATAACGGAAATTATTGCCGTTATACTTTATATAAGTATTAATAGGTTTGAAATATATTTTTATGTTTACAGATAATTATTTTATTCAACAGAGTTAATAATTTGATTCGGTTCCAGCAAAGAGTTATATATTGTACATTTATATTCGCATACAATAAAGAAATAACAAACAGTTTAATAAACTCTTATTTTCTTTGCTCAAGAGAATTTGAAATTTAGAAGAATGATTAACTTTTGCATAAAACATTGATCAAATTTACAATGGAAGGTTATATTGAAAATAACCGTCTTTTAAACGGAGTTTATGGAAAGCGAAACATTAAATAAGGCAATTACAAAACATAAAGTTTTAACTAGCGTTTATTTGACAATGTGCAAGATATTGCCAATTTCTCATTTATCAGAATTATACTGACAGCAAGCTTTTAAGAGGTATTAAACAAGAACATCTTGTGGCATCAGCTCCTGGGACATAATGTTTTTGTTTTTCATTTTTCTAAGTTAAAAAGCCATTACCGAAAATGGATATTTTAAATATAACGTGAGTAACTGTTTGAAACAATTAAATTGGCCTTTCAAAAGGATTGCAATCTTTTGCATTTGCAATCTATTTCTGTTCAACTTTTTGATATGTTTCTTTATTTGTTGTTTGAACATATATATTCAAAGGTGCTAGGGGTCTTGATTTGGCAAACGAAGCATAAATAGACATAAAGTGGCAAGCGGACGGTTAAGATGTTAACTATGTCTTCATTTTAAGTCATCATACATCATTTACTGCAACAGATGAAGAAATTAATTATATAATTATATTTTATAATATTATGACAAATTAAAAGAGATTTACTTAACGACTGGCATCTGCTCAAATCAATTATTTGACAATTTTCTTTATGTTGCGTTTGCACGACTCAAACGATATTATATAAAAATCTTTAACCTGGGTATAAATTAGAGCATAAGAAATGAACTGGGTCAATTGTTCATTTTTTTCCAGTAAAAAGACTTTTACGTCAGAGAAATATTGAAAAAAAATGAATATTTGAGACATGACTGTTTAATAATTACTCAAATGAGTAAACATTTTTTTCATATTATTCAATCTCATCTTTCAAAGTGCCTTTTAAATTTTTTGGTAGCGTTTCGTTAACAAACAGCAAAGTTGATATATAAAAAGGACACAGATAGAACTGTAGACATGAAGATCTGTGTACATAATTATGCATAAATACATGAAACTGGATGTTTTTCAAAGAACGAACATTTTTTTCATATTTTCAGTACAAGTATTTTTTTGTTAAACACACGAAGATATTTTTTTTAAGTTGTAAAAGTAAACTTTTCAAACAACATATATCATATATTTTAATATATATGTTTAAACTCGGCGTAAAAGAATAGTTAAACTGCACTCAAATCAAGAGAAAAATTATGGTTCAAGATAATTTACTATAAAATTACGTTATGTTAACCGAAATCAAAGACTATGCTTAACCTTTATAATCTTGTTCATTTAATATTGTCCATTGCCGCATAAGTTTTTCGCAAATTTTATCAATTTTTCAATAAAACATAAAGTTCAATCATGTGATATGGATATCCAATTTAATGATTTTGAATTAATATCATAAAATATAGGTTACGTAGCTATGCTAGCTTTCTATCTTTAAAAAGTAGATAGTAAAATAGATGAATCTTGTTTTTTTTTATTTTTAAAGTTTAAAGATCCAGAACTCTACCAATATCGGTAACTGAATTATATTACTCTTTGCTGAATTGACATGAAAATATGGCTCCATTACATCTGACATTAGATTCTTTAAAGGTACATATT